TTTTTAGTTTGGTTGGGTTGAAGGTTTTCAAGAGTCTACTGGATGCCTCCGAATCCTGATGCCCAGAATACACCAGCACAAAGTCTGTCCTCTTTACGGGTTCCTTCTTCCTCGTTCTTTTTGGTCAAAGCCTTTATCACCCTATCTCACTTCCTGACCTTTTTCAAAGGGGAGATGAAAGGCACAACAGTTAATCAAGTGGTTGCAAGGAGGACATTTTTTTGGAGAGCAGCTTTTATGGTGAGGCTGAATGTCCACAGAGAAGACACACTGGATTTAAGAAAGATGCACCTTTCCTGGTGTGTGGTAGGGTTGTTGTTTTTTTGCCCCAAGCTCACCTGTGATCAAACAGGTGTGTAGGTTTTTTACAGCATAGCAAAACTGTGAGACTTGTTTCAGGAAAGCAGAAGTCATATTCAGATGAGGAACACCATCATTGATTGATGCAAGACAACAGCTGGGTTTTTAATCCATGGTTGCTGTTGATCGTGGGGTACATTTTGTTGCATAAGTCTACATTACCTAAGCCAGCTTGGCTTAGTGGTGAAGACACCAGTTTAGTAACCAGGAAATGCTGAGTTGTAGTCTCACCTTAGGCTCAAAAGCTGCCTGGGGGAACTTTAGACCAATCACCAGGAGGAGGGGAGTTCTAGTCCCATCTTAGGCATGGAAGCCAACTGGGTGACTGGGTGACGTCCATCTTTCTCAGTCCAACTCATCTCACACTGTCATTGCCAGAAACTAGGAGGAGGCAGGAGTATTATGGTAGATGTTTTTGATGCCTTGAATCTATCTACATATGTTGTGGCTCCGGGTCTGGATTCTGCTCCTGTGGCTGATATGAGTTCAAGTGAGGAGGACATGGCAGAAAAATATGAGCCGGCATGGCTCAGTGATTGGAATAGTAACCAGGATGAGGAGATGGATATAACAAAGGAAGACAGACCTGAAGTATTAGAATTGTCAGGACCTTTGACCTCCTCTGGTTCTTTATCTGATCAGCAGCCGGGAATGGCTGACAGGGAAGGCATGAGAGAGTCTTCTAGTGGAGATGAGAATTTGGAAAACTTGTGGTTAAACGTAAGGAACAGAAGGAGACTAAGGAGACAAACTCAGCTAGAAAGAAGAAGGAGAGCGAGCCAATAATTAGGGAAATTAGCACGTTGCCTAAGTGAATAAAAGGACACAGCTGTGCTGGTAGAATTTGCCAGAAGCAAAGTGACTAATTGAGAGCGAAGACGTTACAGCAGAAGCTCTGAGGCTTGAGATTTATTGCCACGACAGGTTTGCCGGACAGAGTAAAGATTTATGCTGTGGATTGGGATTTATGCCAGCCGTTATCTTGTGGAACTTTGTTTTGTTTGAATTACTTCTGAGACGGCTGCTTTTTGTTTTGTTCGCTTGAATTTGAAGGGAAGTCATAACATACACATATATAAAAGCGAAATACTCCTCATGCATCATCACAAAATCTCCAGAACCGTAAAGCCTAGAAACTTGAAATTTGGCCTGTATGTTCCTCTTGGCTTCTAGGGGCTCACTAAGAAAGGATTTTTTGAAATGACCATCAGAGCATCAGTATTTCCTATATTATTATTATTAACATGCTCTGATGCTAAGGAGTTCTACTCCCCCTCCCCACCTGAAAAAAAATCTGTCCCAAATGCAAAACACAAGCAGAGGAGAGGAGTTTCAGTTTTAGTTTCACAGCACCAAGCAGCTTTAGTACAGAACAGTTGAGCTAAGCCACGGTCAGGCTCCTTGCTGTCTCCTTCCTTGTTCGCACAGCAAATACTCTTTCAGTTTCCAAACAGCCCTCAACTCTCTCTCATCCTGACAGGACACTAGCCAAATGAATACCAATGGATACTGATAGGCAGAGGCAGAATTCTCTCCCCCCCTTATTTTCCTCCCAAAACACTAAGCCCAATCACATAGTTTCGTAGTGAAGCTACGAATTCGAGCTAGTTATTTATAAAGGCAGGATAGCAACATTCCAAAGTAAATAAATAATAAGTAAGAACCTCTGCCCTTCAAAACCGCCTGGCAATTTGCAAATCTGCAGAAAAACTTTATGAGCCGCAGCCCATCAGACACACAGGCTCTAAGAAATGTCTCTTGAAACCCGCCAGGAATGCTGTCCTGCCTACAACCTGCCCCACAAGAACCCTCGTCTGTGACCTATCGCTGAGCAGGCGACCTTCTCTGACCTGCTTTGTTAGTTTGTAACTCGGTGCAGTTTGCCAGCTCAGAAAATGAGTTACTTTGGTGTAAAGGTGGAGGTGCTGGACTAGAAACTGGGTATCCAACTCTGTGTTCTCTGCAGTAGATGTTTTGCTGGTGGCATTTTCAGAGGAAAGCCTAAACTGTTGTTTTCCACTCATCTGTCTGAAATCCAGGAATCTCCAGCCTGGAACCCAGGGCCCTTGGCTCCTCTGCCCTCCTCCATGGGGCCTCTGGCTCTACAAAAGGCAGAGGTGGGTTTTCCTGGGGGCTGCCCTCTTCTCAGTTCCCCCTCAAATCTTGACAGACGTGGCCAAGGGACGCCCCTTAGGCTGAGAAGGCTCTGGCTGGTGTTTGACAAATGCAGTTCAAGTCTCAGAACCACCAGGTAGAAATTGTGCCGTAAAAACACAAGAGGATTTAAGGACTTCTTCTTCTTCCTTTACCCAAATGTAGAAGTTCTGTTTTAATGGAGTGTATTGTGTATTGATCACAGCCTGAGAGAAACTTTGGCTAATCCCGGTGGCCAAACTTTTTAAGCTCACTGAAAAGTCAACACTTCCCATTAATATGAGTCTCGGTGGCGCAGTGGTTAGAGTGAAGTACTGCAGACTACTTCTGCTGACTGCCGGCTGCCTGTAATTTGGCAGATCGAATCCCACAAGGCTCAAGTTTGACTCAACCTTCCATCCTTCTGAGGTGGGTAAAATGAGAACCCAGATTGTTGGGGGCAAGAGGCTGACTCTGTAAACTGCTTAGAGAGGCTGTAAAGCACTGTAAAGTGGAATATAAGTCTAAGTGCTATTGCTATTTTCCTTCCTTCCTTCTTCCTTTCCTTTCCTTTCCTTTCCTTTCCTTTCCTTTCCTTTCCTTT